ACAAAACAGTGGTGCAACTCTCCGTTACATAATCGCGACTTGCGTCGTTGCCGCGCTGCATTCCTGAAGTACCGTTTCTAGAGACTGGAAATGTGGCATGACTGTATTCAGGGCAATGAAACAATTTCGATATCTCAGTACTGTCTTCGCTTATTATTAAATGATGAAATTGTGAGCTGCAATGCATAAATGCGGCTTAAGATATCGTGGCATATATGAAATCATCAACAAACGCGCTAAACTGGCAGATAAGTAGCGGAATTTTACAAGCGAAATGACAAAATTCGCCGGTGTGGGGAGCGCATCACACCACTCGATTCCGTCCAATGGAATCTACATATTTAGGTAAGGAGGCAGCAGCCAGCATCTTGTTTTGCCGTGAAGTCAAACCAATCAAAGTTACGTACACTGAGGGTGGCAAAAACATCCTTAAACCGCACATGAAACGGATGCCTATCCATGAGCATGTCGCCAATGGCGTCTCCACTATGACATGCCTCAAGTACACTACATAACTACATAGTGCATTCGCTCTTCATCGATGCAAGGCCGTCGATCGACATTGTTTCGAAACAATGCAAAACACATGCGGAAGCCCAACGCACTACAACAAGCTGGCAAGTCGCGATTGGCAGAGGATCTAATGAGTGCGAACGAGCGAATGATTCTCATTTCTTTCGGGGTTCTGGGATTGCGTGCACATGCAGCCATGAGTAATCGAATCTGAACACCATCGCCCATCATGTTCGCGGTCTGTGTTTTGCCATTGTTTGGCAAATGCAATTGATGTATCTTGATGATGGTGGCATGCTGAAGCACGCTTACATGGTGGCTTATCCGCTGGGCATGACAGCGGACTAATTCTCGCACCCACACAGATGATGACTGAGTGGGTATGGGAACTCCAGCACACGCCTCAGAACAACGCCGCCCATTGTAATTAGCTCGCCGTCGCCCACCAGGCGCAGGGGCTGTGCTTTGCCATTGCGAAGCGAGCGCAAAAAGTAGCGCAATAATCTTGTGCAACAATAATGTACTTCAATAATGTAATAATAATAATGTTCTTAATAATGTACTTAATGAAGTAACAATGATGTGCTATGATAATACAATGATATATGCAATGATATACTTGAAGTGCCATGTATGATGTATCCAATATTACATAATAGGAGCGCTAATAGCGTAGTAAATGTGATGCAACAACAATGCAAAGCAATATTCCAGTAGAAGCCGATACTGCTGCTACGCTAACTGCGATGCCACTCGACACAAACTGATGGCATCGCACCCACTTTAGCGCCATCCCAATGCCTGTGATGGGACCACTTTGTGTCCAAATGGCATCGAATTTGGCATCGAGAACATGGTGTTTTCTGATAGTCACAGAATGCGAAGGCATTTGGTGGCAGATAATGAACCACTGGATAGTCGGCGCGGGTGAGCTCGAGATGCTCACCGGCAACGAGATCCAGGGCGGCGGCAGTCTGTTGGAATCGGTGAGGCGCGCATCTCCGGACCCGGGCGCAACAGCTCCCGTCCGGGAGCCGAGTGCGAAGGATGCAGCGCGGAGGGCTAAGGCGCCTGGCGTGGACTGCAACGTGGTGGACATGATGTTCCCCGGCGTCGCCCAGCGCCACCGGCCTTCCATAAACCTGCGGCGCGGCCACAGCGCCGACCTGGCGCAGGAGGAGGAACGGAGCGCAGTGGTGAGTGGCACACAGTCAGTGAAGGGCACGCCGTCTTTGGGATGCCCGCTGGGATGTCGTTTGGCACTAATTGATGCCATCGCAGCTGCCACTGTGCCATCGCAGTCACTCTATATCTCCATCATTGGCGCCACTTGGTGTCAAAATGGCATCGCAATTGGGGTCGCGGAAATGGCGTTATATGCCAGTGCTGGTGGATAGTGCTAGTGCTGATATATAGTGCTAGTGATTGTGGATAGTGATAGTGCTAGTGCCTGTGGATGGGTTGGTGCCGATTGCGGGATCTGGCCGCGCTTTAGCGCGGCGTTTCATGCAGTGCGGGTGGATTACCTCAGTTGATTCCAAAAAGTACGGGAAAGATGTTGTTTTTCTTTGGGTAACGTTCACCTATGGTGAATGTGGCTATGTTAGCCGAATCGAACGCTGAAAATTTTGTTGATAGCGTTATATATGACCAGACTCGGGACATCAGTCGTAGCAATGCCTGAACACGCGGGCGGCCATACGATGAATCGTTTATCATAAACGAACGGATGAGGGGAACAAAGAGTTCTTGGATGTGTACATGCCGCTATCGTATACAGGGTGCACGAGTTGCCACCGCTCTGTTCTGTCGCGCGATATGTTAAAAGGACCACAGTTTCAGGTAATCCATGTGGTTGCTTAGGAAACACTCCCAACAGTGATAGAAGACTTTGTGGCTAGGCTGAGCAAGAAGCAAGAGATCCCCGTGCAGCTGAAGTCAATTATGTCTAGAACATCGGTGATTCAGCTGATAAAAGTGTCCGAGGCTCTGAAGTATCCATCGAATCATGCGGTGGTGATGGGGCCACCTGGGGTTGGAAAAAGGACCATTTCCGAAATCGCCGCCCGGGCCTCGGGGTATGAAGTCCATGTGATGCCATACGAAAGACAAGATTTCGCTGAGTGGCGCGCCAAAATCGGGGACCTGATCCATCAAGCGGGTAAGCAAGCGTGCTTTGCACTCCGCTGCGCAAGCTAAGCTGGCCCTTCAGCGTACCGAGCACCAGCGGATAGGGGCATTCTTGCGATGCCAATTGCCAGGGCACTTGACACGGATTGGTGCAATCGCAACCACTTTTGTGCCATAGCAATCACTGTGACGGCACCATTTTGTGCCAAAATGGCATCTCAGTTGGCATCACAAACATGCCGTTTTCTACCAGTGGATGGTAATGCTACCTTTCACCGAAACTCCTTTCGTGGATAGGATAACGTTGGGCAACATTATAAATTTGAAAAATGAGATACTTACAAATGCGTTGTGACGAAAAAGAGCAAAAAGAGCAAAGCGCACTCTTCGGGAAAGAGAACGCGGCTTCCGAGCGAAGATCCCTGTTTCAAGCATTGGTGATAATTGGCGTTGCTGCGCATCCCATTGTCCGTGCCTCCAGGAACGCAGGGAACCAAAATCGCCGTCATCTTGAGGGTCACGAGCAGAGTCTGCGACGGAGTGATGGACGACGCCACGCACATAATCCGGGAAGGGGCCATTCCGGAGCTGACCGCCCTGGGACACAGCGGAGCGGAGGCACTAAGCAAGAGCTCCGCGGGCCACACCAACGGATCGGCGCTCCACCGGTGGAGCATCGAGTACGAGGAGGGCGTGAAGCGTTTCGTTTCCAAGTGCAAGGAAAATCTGCACGTGATACTCTGCGTTGATTCCAGCGCGGGGCCCGATTGCCGCAGATTGGACGCATTTCCGCCCATTTGTGAGCACTCCGCCGTCATACACATGGACGACTGGGAGATCGCTGACAACGTGGAGACGGGGTATCGATTCTTCGGACGGCACAGGGATGTCATGGTAGGCGGTGATGATTTGCCAGTGCGCCAGATGGGGTAGCGCAAGACAAAGTAATGGAGGTGAAGTGCGGCAGCGCACACGACGCTTGTTGTCCTATTCTGTCCTTACAGCGAAGTGCGAGCGAAAACGGAGCCACATGTCCGTTTCGTTTCGGGCAGATTTCTGAACGATGAAATCGAAAATAGGAGTGACCGAGCCGATTTTTCTTCTTTGCGTTCTGTCTTCAAAATGCCGAATACCATTCTATTAAAATGTTTCATCTGTACGTACATAGGAATTTAGATTAAGTACTCAAAATGAAAAGGGACCCCGAGGCGTGCCACAGAGATCTCGCTCGATAAATGTTCTTTCAGGGAGATGACGACAACTGTGCCAAGATGGCTCAAATTTGCGCCACCCTTCACAGTGAGACTGTTCAACAGTGCAAGAACCAGTATGGTGCAAACCATGAGCACATGGTTGCCCCGCTGAGCTGCCAATTCATCACTCTCCTGTCGACCGTGCATGAGAGGATGGCGCAGAAGGTAGAAGAGCTGGACACCGAGTATTCCAAGCATGCCGAAGGCGTGAGGTCCATGGTGGCCCTCCAGGACGAGGTGGAGCGTATGCAGCGGCGCTTTGAGCAGCTGCAGCCCCTCATGCTTCAAACAAGCAAGGAGACGGAGGCCTTGCTGGAGCGTGTAGGGAGGGAGCAAATGCTGGCGGATGACGCTGTGAAGGTGACCATGTGGCCCTCTCGGTGTCAATTGCGTGCTGCCAGGCTTGCTGTTTACGGTGTAATCACAGCATGTATTTACGCATTTAGACCTGAAATAGAATTTGCATTTTGTGCGCCAAAAATGCGCAGATTAAAACAGCTTTGTCATAAAACCGTCGCAAAAATGATGCCGCAATGTACATAGCAATCCCCCGTGTTGCGGCGTTTCGGGGTGCGCCCACGTGGGTCCCCTTCCAAGTCGGTTGATTTTGCGCGAGAAAAACTCGAAACGGCTGTGGCTGCCAGGGTCTGTCATGCACACATATATGCCATTCAACGCCATCGGTTTGTCACCATACAAATGCCACAAACGATGTTTGGATCATGAGCGCCCTCTAGCGCATATCATGCTCTGCGCAGACATTGCCTAACAGGAACGCGTTGAATTTGAGAATCCATAATCCGTTGACAGATCACTGCACATTGTTGTCCCCTTTGAGGATATATTTCCCTTAAGAAACTTATGCCATCAATTCGACTTGAGCTAAAACTCGATGGATGGAGTGAATGCTGTACATAAATGCACGTTTCTTACTCTAAACCACGACCAAAAGCGGCTTCGCTCGTAATGAGAGAAATTGCGTAAGTGATCACCAACGCAAGTTACGTCAACGCACGCTACATAAGCGCTCGTGAAAAGTTAACGAACGCTCTCGGCTTCCGCGCAGAGGATTACGAGCGACGAAGCGAGGGCGAGAGCCGAAGCAGAAGAGCAGGCAAAAGAGAGGGACTTGTGCGACGCCGAGCTGGAGAAAGCGATGCCGCCACTCAGGAAGGCATTGAAGGAAATCAGCAAGATCAACAAGTCGGATATTGCGGAGTTGAAAAGTCTCAAGAAGCCTCCACCAGGTGAATGGCTCGAGCAACCTTTCGGGAAAATGTGGGATTCACTTTTAAGCATGTATCACTTGCTTAAAAGCAGCACAATACTTCAATACCTATTACAGGGCACTAACGCAGCACTGCAGTACTACAGTATTGTACTAAGCTCCTACAGCGGTACGGTAATGTACTGGGTCTTGTATTTGCTTTTACCAAATCAGGGTTCGAGGTTATCATAAAGATAACGCAGTGTTTTCCGATGAGCCCCAATATCGAGGTAGCCAACAGTAGTTGGAGCCACGAAAAAGAACGGCTTTATGTTATGAATGATTGTGAATACAGAGATCTGCTGCTGTGGTGTCATTCCAAGTGACGAATCCTGGAAAATCCCTGTTTTGAATTCAATTTGTCTATAGTCGAATCACCCTGCTGTTGTTCTACCAATTTATTGTTAGATCATTTGAAGAGTTAATTATTCGATGACTTTATAGTTTTGGACTATATAGCCAACATAGATCGCGTTAATGATTAAGATTTCGGAGTTTGGGAGACAACTCCCATTCTAAATTCAACCAAGGGCTTACTTGCATTAGAAAAATTTAATGATGTTCTCCTCATAAATGCAAAGCCATATTGGAAAGGGCGCGCGAACCCATCAGGCAATTTCACAGGACACATTACACCCAACAAAACACATAGTCTCCATTAGCGCACGATTCACATTTACAGCCTTGTTTTGCACCTGTGTTTTCCCTGTGTATCTCACTCTGGCCACTGGCATACAGGCGTGAAGCTTGTTATGAGGTGCATATGCATAATGATGGACCGCATTCCGAAAGACATACGTGGTGGGAAGAAGCCCAAAGCCGAAAAGGAAGTGGAGATCTGGTGGGACGAATCCATAAAGTTGATGAGCGACTTCCACTTCCTTGAGCACGTTCTGGCGTACGACAAGGATCGCCTGTCCGATGACATTGTGGAGGAGGTTTGATACCAAGCGGCCATTTTGTTTTACGCTAAATTTGGTTCAAGCGAATGAGAAAATGGTCTTTGAATTTATTATGAGTAATCTAAGCATGAGTACATGTGTGTAATATGAAGATATCCATGTCGTCTGCGGAAATATAAATTAATCCCGAGAACCATCTCATTATCTTGGGAACTGATCAATTGATAGGTTGTGAGTTACTCATAGTGTATGCTCATTCTATTTTTACTCCTGAGCCAATTTATGTATGCATGCGCTGTTTTATCAGTGGGAAAATGTATTGTGCTGAACATTTACACTAAATGCAAAATGCCGGCTTTAACACTAAGAATACATCATTTTGCTATGATAGAATCTGATAAATTCGTGGTAGCGATTGCGCCAATCAGTAGTTATTCCCATCAAACATGGAAAAAAGTAGCATTGATACGATATATCATGCATCCGCCGTGGCACAAAGGAAGCTTAGCAAAAGGTAGCTCTTGTTCGCAATCTCGGAACGTCCACCCATTCGAAAACAAATGCAGAAGTAAGTGTGTAAATTGTTGAGCCCTAATCCAGCTTTTCCTCTAAAGACATGTTATCGCGAAACATGAATAAAGTTCACAGGCGGGTTGTACTTGTACCTGACACGCGACGTGGATGCAAAGGTCAGAAAATTCACAAACATGGAAGAATTCTCTCCCAAGGCGATGTCAAAGGTGTCCAAGGCAGCGTCCAGCATGTGTCGGTGGGTTTTGGCCCTTGTGATGTACCACACGACTCAAAAGGCGATGGAACCCAAGAGGCAAGCCCTCAGAGCGGCAGAGGAAGAGCTGGAGAAGAGGGAAGCGGACCTAATGGTGCGATGGAAGAAGTGTAAAATGTGGGACCACCCATCGTGGTAAAATGTAAAATGAGGGACCACCCACGCCCAAATGCGAACCATCCCCGCCCAAATGCGCACATCTGCAGCAAACGCATGGATCTGATGTTTCGACAACGGAAAGTGATGCTGGCAGCAATTAAACGTACTTGCACATTGCCTGACCGCGCTTTCAAGCACAAGGTTTCAGCTAATCATGTGCAGTTTGCAACTAACAAGTTGTGCCACAGACACACCGTATCGTCAATACACTAATCAATAATTCAAATGATGAATATACGCCCATTCTAACCAATTTCATATGAATTCATATGCAGCCCCTTAGGATTAAGTATAGGTAAGTACTTCCTCCGTCCGGAATTAATTGTCCTCCATGACTTTGGCGCCCTAGCTCTCCACCATCAAAGCTTCTTTTTTCAAATAATTTCTTCCAAAGGTGCGTCTATGTTTTGGAGTATACGGTCAAAATTTTAATTCAGTCCGTTAAGTATTGAAAAAATTGGCAATACATTGAAGCAAGGTTTTCCTACCAGAAACCCACCCGTTTTCCAACAAGTCACCGAAACGGCTGTTTTCGCGACGTTGTGGAGCACGCCTTTGCAGCAGCCAAGCAATACCACCCATTCAAAACTATCCACGCCGTCTGGACAGAAGCTCTGAGAGGTCCCAGCGAGGAGCGAAAGTGGCAGAAAACGTGTCTTGAACGTGGCGCGCTTGATCGCGGAAGCCACCGTCGCTTCGCTGCCCTAATTTGAGATCGATTGTCAAGTCCAGGGATGCATTTCTGGCCCAGATTTCTGGGCCGCGACCTTTGAGCCTCCATCTCTACCGTGAGAGGTACCGCACAGGGCCTCCGAATCCCCTCAAAAAGGTGCGAAGGAATGCAATGGCCATCATCCTAATCAACGGCGGACGATTAGGGGAATGGCTTCCAAGGCGCAATGGAGAAATCGACCTTTGCATCAACAATCGAAAGGGTGCAACACGAACGGAACAACCAGAGAGACGTGTTTGTGTCTCTCCCACAAGCACAGACTAGTTAGATTGCGAAGGGTTGCAGACCAGGCGGGAATCGGCCGCCAGAGGCAATTTCTGGAGTGCGGCCCAGCCACGCACGAAGGCCTCGATTCAAGGATCAATCGAGGGGCAAAGTCAGAGTAAAGTTGAGACATAACCTTAGAGTGATAGCCCGCACAGAGCCCAAGGATGAGCGCCTTGGGCGTTGGCCATTTCCGCTTGTGGCAAGTCCTCGCATCAGAGATCATGGAGGCAGTGGTTTCTGCCATCGCTGACGATGGGCTTCTTCGATGGGGGTCCAAACACGGTTGAGTGTGTTTGGCAATGGCTGCAAAACGTAAGGCACACTGCCCTTTGCTGCGGCGGCAACAGCCACCTTGCTTTGGCATGCCTGGGACGGGAGCCACCCAGAACCGCGCGGATCTCTAACGGGCGTCGAATGAGAACGCACAATTTTCGGGCAAATTTTAGGCAATTTTGAGGGGACGCAGAATTTGCGGGGATGGGCATTTGGTCACAAAAATTGGTAGTCAAGGGTTTTGAGATCCAATAATTTCGATTATGATTTTTATTGGTACTTTGAAAGCAGTTTAGATAACTAAATTGATTTTTCAAATAGAGGACAATTACTTCCGGACGGAGGAAGTAATATTTGACTACAGTTTATCGCCATTCCTCGCTGATGCAATGTGGAGCCTACTCCGGCTGCCGGAGTCCGGCAATCCTAACAGCTTCGCGTCGCAAGGGCCACGGATGCATCGGCTAACTTTCTCTAAACGGCAAATTTAGGAAGATTGAAGCTGAGATTATTGGGACAATTATCAAATGAAAAGTAGCAAAACAGACTCACACTACTAAATTGGCAATTGGTGGTATTTTGAAAATATTATATATACTGCCAACGGTAGCTGGTTTTGTGCCTCGACTTACAGCTAGCTGCACTTTTTGCTTACATCCAGCAGGCAGCTCTTAGCTGTTAGCTATCACTAGAAGCCAAAACCATGTGTCACATTTTCGCTATCCACTATGCATTCAAGCCACCCAGCGGGGCACTGAACTTGCGGTTCAACGAATTTTGAGTCTATGTGGCTCCGGCGAGTGTCACTGACGTTGAGCGCTCAAGCTGACGAGCTCAAGCATTGCCAGTATTTCAATACATGAACAAACACCAGTACACCAACACACTTGAAGCACAATTCAACTGCGCTGAAGTCGAACTTCATTGCTGAAAAAATTGAGCGCAAACAGCGCTAAGCGCCCCCCAAAACAAAGCACCATCTTGCCGAAAACTATTATGCGGGGTTTCCCGCCTGTGCCACTGAAGCTCCCACCCCCCACTTCCCCGCAGAGAGCCCGCGAGAGGCTGAACGCCATGCTGGAGGACGTGGATGCCCTGCGGCGCGAGTACGAGCAGGCCATCGAGAAGGCGGCGCGCCTGCACAGCGAATCAGAGGCCGGCGCGAGGCAGATATCCAAGGCTCACAAGGTGCTGTCGGCCCTCATGAAGGAGAAGGCGCGGTGGGAGGAGAGGTCCAGACACTTCGCGGCCAGGAGGTCCAGCGCCGCGGGAGACGTGCTGCTGGCGTCATGTTATGTGACATACGCGGGGATGATGGCGGATGGCCAGCGCAGAGACTGCCGCCGGGGGTGGAGGAAGGCCGTCGTGGAGGTGGGGACGCCGTTGGAGTGGCCGGAGGGCAAAATACGACATTGGTACATCACCGTTGATGTTGATGTTGATAATTCCCATCACTGTTGATTGTTGATGTCAATATTGACATGGATATTGATATTTTAATGAGTGTTTGAGGCATGAAGTGTTTACATACTGATTTAATTACGTTTTGGGCGATGTAATCCGGTTTTTATATGCTGATCGGCCTCTGCGAAGCCTCTGCCGCCCTTGAAATGTCGGAGGTTGATTGAAATTTTGTGTCAGACTTGGCCATGTTTCACAGGCGGTTCGTATGGCGCACCGCTGCGATGCAAGACTTCGCAGACTTGCATCGCCGACACGAAGTCTATTGTTACGGAGGCCCTTGAAAATGATCTGTGCAGAGCGCATGTTGCCACATGTGGTCGCGATGCGTTAGGCGACTCGTCGCAGGTGGCGTCCTTTTAATACGCCATTTTCAGATCTCTGGCACTACACGAGCA